ATGAATGTGACTGAGTACATAATTGCAATTTAAGCAAGCAACTCAACAGCGAAAATGACCTCAGTGGGTTCCAACAGAATAAGCATATAGCCTAAATATGATTTCTAGCATGGATCACAGCTCAATTACTCTAACACGTAGGAATTACATGGATAGCAACAAGATTTGATAACTACACAATACCACAGAATCAACCGAGTCATAATTACCACGGTGCACGCCCACACAACCGTCACCTAGCATGTGCATCACCTCAACACCAACCACATAACACGTATTTTAGGGATTCATAACCTCAGTACCAAGTTTAGAAAAGTTACTTACTTCAAACTGCACAAATCACAACTCCAACAAGCGCTTGCCACGCGAATCAGCCTCCGAATGACTCGAATCTAGTCACAAACAACTTAATATAATCAATACAAGCTATAGGAATTGATCCCATACGATAAAGCTAAGTTCTTTAACCAAATTCAAAAAGTCAACCTGGAGCTCACGCCTTGAAACCTGACAAAATTCACAAAATCTGAATACCCATTCAATAACGAGTCCAACCATACCAAAATCATCTAATTCGAGCACAAATCGGCCCTCAAACCCCCAAATCTTACTCTCCAACCCCTAGTCCAAAATCCCCCAAATTTTACCTTAAAACACATAATCTAGGTGTAGAAATCAATGAGTATTTAATATTATTGGACAAAAGTGATCAAAAATAGTTTACCTCTTGATTTCTAGTGAAATCCCTCTCAAATATCTCCCTTATCCGAGCTCCCCAAGTCCAAATGTGAAATAATACTCTAACCCTCGTTTTTGAAATTAAATAGTATGCCTAGTTGTTCCTCTTCGCGATCGCGAAGAACAAAAGATGCTGCCCTCAAAAATACACTTCGCGAACGCGAAGAATCCATCGCGAAAGTGGTGACTAATTCCCCAAATGTACGTGATCGTGGACACACACATACGATCGCGTAGACCAACGTGTCTGACATCCCATGTCTCCTCTTCCTTCATCGCGAACGCGGCACCTCCCACGCGTTCGCGTAGCACTAACTCCCCAAGGTTCGCGATCGTAGACCTTATCATGCGAATGCATAGACCAACTTCACCAGTCACCCAAACAGCCCTTCGCGATCATGGCTCTTCCCTCGCGATCCCGTATTAGGAAACCAGAACCAGACATAACTGCAGTCCTACAAGTCTAACAATGAGCCAAATATGATCCGAATCACAACCCGAGGCCCCCAGAACCCCATCCAAACATACCCAACATATCCTAAAACATCATACGAACTTACTCGAAGCCTCAAATCATATAAAACAACATCGAAAACACGAATCGCACCCCAATTCAAGCCTAATGAACTACTGAACTTCCAACTTCTAAAACCAATGCCAAAACACATCAAATCAACTCCGATTGACCTTAAATTTTGCACACAAGTCATAAATAACACAACGGAACTGTTCCAAATCCCGAACCAAAATCCAAGGTCGGTAACAACAAAGTCAACTCTCGGTCAAACTCCTTAACTTTCCAACTTTCACCAATTCAAGCAAAAACGACCTACGAACCTCCAAATCAAAATACGAACATACTCCTAAGTCTAAAATCACCATAAGAAGCTATCTGAACCATCAAAACTCCATTCCGGAGTCACTTACTCATAAGTCAACATCCGGTCAACTCTTTCAACTTAGGCTTCCAACCTTGGGACTAAGTATCTCAATTCATTCCGAAGCGTTCTCGTAATTAAACCAACACCCCGAAAAGTCACATGACCACATTGAACATAGAATAAGCAATAAATAAGGGAACGGGGCTATAATACTCAAAACGACCAGCCAGGTCATTACAAGGGGTGTGTCATTCAGTTGGAGTTGAGCTTGTTCGTGTTTCGATATGTTCTATGTGTTACTCTTCTATGCTATAATAGGTTATTATCTATTGGTTATTCGCACACTAGATGCATTTTTGTTTGGACCCTGCGGCAAAAATTCGAGCGAGATGGTTATTGCGATGTTAAATGGTTGATTGTGCCTTGGTTATGGTCTTTTATGTTGGTGGTATATTATGGTATCCGTTTTTCCATGGTTATGGTCATGCACTTAGTGTGGCTATTTTTCACTTGCGTATGGTTGAAAATTTGAGCATTGTGGCTCGAGGTATTTCATATGGACCGGTGTTTGGATGGGGTCACGCATTGTAGCGGAGTTATGTTAATATATGATCTTTTGTGTGTGTGATGGGTTCATAGCATTGCGTTTGTGGTGGTACCTGTTGAGCCTGCAATATGTGTATCTCATTTTATTCACTTTCCATTTTGGGTGCATTTAAGTTGTTGCTTATCGGTGCACGGATTTGCACGATTGTTGGGTTAGGTAGTATTGGTGCGGCATGTCGGTAGAGCATCTTGTATTGCGTGAGATGAGATTATTGGACCTGGAACGAGTACTGTCGGATTTGAGTATGGTACGTTTGTGAGAATAATATCGGAAGTCAGCTTATAATTTAGCAATAGTTCTTATCGGGAGAGAGAGCTCCACGACTTGTTGATTTGATGAGTGGTTATGAGTTTCTGAGTATTTCATTCATCATTGGCAGTGTACGAAGGTTTACAACAAGGTTTTTATTTTATATGAGGTTTATTACCGGTATCGGGTTTGTTTTTGGGCATCTATCATGGTCAGAAGCTATTATTGTGAGTACCTGAGTTATATGGTATATCATGTGATTACATCTTGGGATATGGTTATGTCTTGGTACATCTTGTTTAGACTTATACAATGTATAGATGTGAGGGTCCGGTCTTGTAATGGTTTTCGAATATTGGAGATTTGATTCCAAGATTTATGGGCCAAGGTTGAAGAAAGGATCTTCAGTTGGGTTGTGTTGTCAGGCTTATATGGATAGGAGTGACGTGAGATCACCCATGGGTATGTGCATAGTGAGTTTCCACAGTGATTTGATGGCTTTGGAACGATTCTTAGCACGTTTGAGGACGAACGTATGTTTAAGTGGGGGAGAATGTAACGACCCAACCAGTCGTATTGAGCATTTGCATTCCGTTCAGCTGTTTGAAGTCTTAAGTAGCTTCATATGATGTATTATGACTTGTGTATCATCGGTTTCGGTTTTCGGGTGATTCAATTCATTAAATATTACAAATATTAGCCAAATGTTACCAATATTAGCCAATTAGTTATTTGTAGCCCAAAAAAGGTCAAAGTTTTGCTTTCTTTTGAGTGGGTGTTATTAGAATAGATTAGGTACATCTTAAAGAGTTTAATCTCGATTTTGGGATGATTTGATAGAGTTTTGAGGTGGTTTGAATTGAAAATTTGAAGCAGAAGATGATTGAAAAAATTAATGTGTATCATCCTGTATATCATTTGTATATCACATATGTATCATATTTGTAGCAAATGTGTATCATATTTGTAGCAAATGTGTATCACATGCATATCCATGTATACCTATGTGTGATACATGCGTGATACATGTATCGTAGAAGAATCTTTTTAACTCGATTTTAACGACGGATTTTGATACCAAATAAGTCCAAATTACCTCAAATCTTCCTCAAAATTAATATATTGACTCATCTATATCTTTCAATGCTTTTCAACCATACCCATTGAAAAATATCCTTTTTTGCTTAGATTTTTGAAACCTTGTATATATATTTTATTATTTTATCACTTTGTTTGCTGCCACCGGTTTATTTTGAATCCCAAATCGAGGAAAATTTCGACTTTTCCTTTTGAAGTCTGCGAACCAGAAATTCTGAATAAGGAATTCTGTTAACCCGAGGGAAGGTGTTAGGCACCCCCGGATTCCGGGGTTCTAGCACGGTCGCTTAAACTATCATAATTGGCCTATTATCTGATTTTAATACATGTTTTAAACCTATGGTGCAATTTTAAACTTTTAACCGCTTTTATTTAATTTTAAGGAATATTGCAACGTTATTAAAACACGTCTTGAACCACGTCACATAAATGCACCCGTGGTTTTTGACATATTTTAACATCGTTGAGATTTGAATTTGGGTCACATAAATGTACACTCGAATTTAGGAAAGTAGATTATTAAAATACGCGCCTAAAGCAACTACGTGTTTGCACTTGGCGAGGGCCATGGAATTTGCTAAATGGCACGCCTTGAATTCTAAGGTTGAGTTAAAGCTAATTAAAATGAGGGCCACGCAATTGTGATTTTATTCGGCACCTCAACTTCATTTTTAAAGGATATTCAACCTACAGTTCGGGGAGCCATAGACTATTGTTATCCTTAATATGGTGCGCCCCAAAATTATTTAAAGGAGTTTAATTAATTAAACACTAAAGGCATTTGAACTATTATTGTCCCTAAATTAAGGCAGGCCCAACTACTTATGGGGAGAACCCGTTTCGAGATTAAGGAAGAAATAACGGGCTTAATTCACAGGCCCAAGGAGGTTGTGATTACAAGCCTTCCCCTTTATTTTGGCATGGATGCAAAATACAACCCAAATTAGTATCATATTCAATAGCTGATTTGGGCCTGTGAATTTAAAGTGACACCAGGGCCCAAAATAGGACTCAAGATCGAGTCTCTGCAGCCAAAAGGGATGCCTGAAAATTCGACTTACCACATTCAAATTAATATCATTGCTGATTCATCAAGATCAATTATGCATGATTCCAAACTCAATTAAAACTCATCTCAACATATTCAATACAGATTACAGCTCGTGTGACTCTTGAATAAAAGAATCTGAATTCAAACAATAGACTCACATTCAATCATGTTTATAAACAATCCAGGGAATTCTATATGTGGCTTAGACCCTTGAAGTGATAAACCAGATATTTTCTTTGTCCAGGAGTAACTGTACAATTGACTATAACCTAGAACCCATTCAATTATTCATGCCATGAAACCAAATGCTACTCAAGCATAACAAAAATGCCCTAACACATCAAATAGACCAAACAATAGAGGGAAAAATCTCTAATACAGTCTAACCAACATGGTTGATGCAGAATTCGACCAGTACAATTAATACAAACTCCATGTAAAGCTTACAGAGTAAACCATGAATACCTGAAGCTAAAAATGAAACAGTAGTGAACCTAGGACATGGAATCTCTATTAATAAGCAGAACATCATTCAAACATGTGAGAATCATGGAGATGTAACGAAAATCCAACATATGAATACCTTGTCATTTCTGCTAATAATTACAAACCATATATGAAAAGCTAACTTAGACAAAAGGCTAATAGTGAACATAGAGAACAAATCAGAAGAAAAATAAAGAAACAGAAAGAGTTTTCATGCTTCAATTCTCCCAAATCGATTGATTTCTCAATTTTTCACTTCATAATCAATAGGGTAACAAAGTGATGTACCTGAAATTGAAAGAATAAGCAAATAAAGAAGGATCAGCAGTTTGAATTTCAGCAGAGATTGACAGCAGCAACAAAACAGCCCAGAGATGATTAGGGAAAGCCAATTTAAACCAAATTTGAAACCACGATAGTGTCAATAAAACCCAGCAATCAAAATCCAACCAAAACTGATCCAAAAAACTTGAATACCAAACAAAATTCAACTCATTTTCACTTCTGAATATTCAGGAATTGTTTTGGTAATGAAAATCTCAAGGTTCTCAGGAAAAGCTTTAATGGAACAGTATTTTTGCAGCTATTTTTGATTTTCAGGACTTGGAAATCTGAATTGAGCCTCAAGTAACAATGCCTTTATAGGCAAGTTACTAGGGCAGCCTTAAGGGTTCAGTTATTTCTTTTTAGTCCCTCTCGAATTTTCCCTTTTGCTACTTAGCCCTTCATTTTTTGACTTGCTAAACAAGTAAGGCTATTTTTCCAGCTTCTGAGAAGCTTCCTAGGTAGTTACTGAGAGATTCCTTAGGTGAATTACCCCAATTACCCTTAGTTCCCCTGAATTTTACCTTCAACAGGTCAAATGGGTATGGGTCAATTTAACCCAACGACCCAGCCCCAAACTTGGGCCAACGGACAGGCTTCTAAAATTAGACCTTCATTCAATGGCTGGTACTGACAAAACCCCAAGCCCAATCCAAAACAAAATTAAAGAGAAGGCAGCCCAAGTCAAAAACTGAGCCAGCACAATTATTCAAATCTTCTTTCTTCTTTTTTTTTTTTAATAAGACACTTTTAAAAGTGTAAAAAAAAATGTAAATTAACACTAAATTAATGACCAGCAATTCTGACTTAGGCTAAACAAGAAAGAGGAAGAGTTCATGGCTAACAATTGAGCTTTAAGGTGAGAAAGAAGAGGAATAAGAGAGTACCGATGGAGCCCCAGATAAACTTCGAAGTCCTAAAGAACAAAGACGACTCTGAGTCGAACTTGAACTCCGGTGAATCCAAAGCTTGACCAAACGGTGAGAATTGTGACACGAATATTAGCCGAACCTTCGTTCGTAGCTAATAATTCATGCGACAATCCCCACCATGTGCCAAAAGAAGTGAAACAGAGGCTCGAAGAAATTGGAACACTCGAAGGTTGTTCTCCTGAAATTCGACCAAATCCAAGACAGAAGGCTTCTGATATTCAAGAACAACTCCCTTGTTGGCAAACTGAGGAATTCATACAGGTTTTGATATGAATTGAGGGTTTAAATCAGAAATTTGGGCAAAAATGGAAAAAGTTCGAATTTTTATTTTCTGGATTTGAAATTCAGCCAAATTGGGTGGTCTTTTGGTGAAATTAACAGTGGAACAAGGATGAGGAGGTGATGTAGGTCGTAGGGTCAAGATTTGGCGGAATTTGGAGGTGCTCCGCCGCCGTAAGGCGATTTTCGGGCGACGGAGCTGTGGTGGAGACAGGCGGCGATTTGAGAGGAAAAGGGAATTAGGTTTTGGCTTAATTAAATGAGAGACTGGGGCCAAGTTGGTCGTTTAATGATGGGGGATGAAAGAAACAACGTAGTTTGGTATTGAAACCACGTCGTTTTGGTGAGCCGGACCGGGTATGGGTTTGGACCGGGTATTTGATGGTTTTGGACGGGTTTAGGGGTTTGGGCCTGGTTGGGTCATAGGTGCTAGATGACTTGGGCTTGGAAAAATGAATAAAGAAGCCCAAAAATCTGAATCTCTTGCTTTCTTCTCTCTTTTATTTTTTATTTTTTCAAGTTTTGTTAATTACAAATAAAAGGGTAAAAATCTGATTTAATCCTAAATATTAACCTAATAACTAATTGCTTCTTAAAAGTTAATTAAGTCCTAATTTAAAAGAAAAATTATGATAAATTCGAAAAATTAAAAAGAAAAATGCAACGAGCTATTTTTGTGATTTTCTTTCAATTTTTGTAACATTAATTAACCAATAAATCTAAAAATATAAAATAAAGCCCTAAATGCAAATGCGACATATTATTGTATTTTTTCATGAATTATATAAATTAAATATGCACACGAAAATGCAAATAAACACAAAATCATGCAATTAATTCCTAAAAATAAATAATTAAAAGAACAACCCTAATTTTAAGAATCCTGTAGGAGTAAATCATGCGAGGCAAAAATCACATGCTCACAATAATGAGGTTGGTAAGTTGGAACTTATTTGGAATATTTATGTAAGATCCCCGAAAAAATAGCCCCTAATCGTAAAAACTTTACCCACATCCTATTTGCACACTATTTAACCTATAGCCAGTTTTTAAAAGTTATTTAATTTTTAAACCAAAGTTTGATAAACTTTAGACAAATCCTCATCTTAGTCTCAAACCTAGCGCCACAACCCTACTGGAATACCTTTCATAGCAGCAGCTCAAAAAAATGTATCATTTTCATCATATCTACACTAAAGCATCATTACTCAGGTTATGATAAAAGGTCAAAGATATGGGTTTTGTTTTTGTTGATTCTTTATGGTGGAAGTGTGGAACTCTGGTTGGATCATTTATTGGAGCTGCTATTGTTGCAGTTTACCACCAAATAATCATCAGATTCCATTCCACAAGTCTTAAATTTCTTCAAGAAGCCTTTTTATCTTTCTGTCTCGATCATGGAATCTAAAGATTATACTTTTTAATTTTATTTTAAAACTCCTTCTAATGTATTTGTATATGTAAAATTTGTTAAAATTATAATAAACTTGTTTCCATTAGTTCACATTTATATTAAATATGTTTAGATTAGTTCATATTAGTATGAGATGTATGAACAAGTGTAGACTAATGTGAACTTCATTATGAGATGTATGAACTAGTGTAGACTAATGTGAATTTAGTTAGTGTGTTTACATGAAGTTTAGGCTAGATACATGTAGGAGTTCTACTATAAATACCCATGTATGCTAGCCATTTGGAACAAGTCAAGTTGAATGAAAAATATCATTTCTTCTCCATTCTTAAAGTGAGTTGTGAGTGTTTGAGTGTTTTGTTGTCTTGCTCTCCCAAATTATTTTTTTTTCCAACATTTGGTATCAGAGCCGGTGTGGTTGAAGACAACAAACTTGGAGAAAAGATGACGAATTCTAACGGAACACCATTCCAAGTTCCTATGCTTACAAAAGAGAACTATGGAAATTGGTGTATTCGAATGAAGGCCTTGCTTGGTGCCTATGATGTTTGGGAACCAGTAGAGTCCGGTGTTGATGAAGCAGAAGATGTCGTTGCCTCAAAGAAGAAGGATCAAAAGGCACTCACTCTCATCCATCAAGGTTTGGATGACAAGATGTTCGAGAAGGTTGCAAATGCAACAACCTCCAAGGAAGCATGGGATATTCTTCAAACTTCTTTTAAAGGTTTGGACAAAGTGAAAAAAGTTCACCTCCAAACCTTAAGAGGAGAGTTTGAATCATTGCATATGAAGGAAAATGAATATGTTGTGGATTATATTTCGAGAGTTTTGGCTATTGTCAATCAAATGAAAAGATATGGTGAAGAGTTGAAAGACGATAGGGTCGTGGCAAAAATACTACGATCCTTAATTTCAAAATTTGATTTTATTGTTGTTGCCATTGAAGAGTCCAAAGACTTGGACACCATGACCATAGACGAGCTTTCGAGTTCCTTGCAAGCACATGAAGAGAAGTTGAAGAAACCGAAAGAAGAATCGGTTGAACAAGCGTTGCAAGCAAAATTTTCTTTCAAAGAGAAAGATGAAAGGCGTGGCTCGCAACAAAGAGGCCGTGGAAATGGAAGAGGTCGTGGTAGAGGCGGAAGAGGAGGTAGTCAACCACCTTCAAGTAGAGAAAATAAAGGCCAAGACTTTAATTCAAGAAGAGGTCGTGGAAGAGGGAAAGGATGGAGGCAAAATCAAGGAAGGTATGACAAATCAAATATTGAATGTTATACTTGTCATAAATTTGGTCATTTTTCTTGGGAATGTAAAGATAACTTTGAAGAGAAAAATAATTTCGTGCAGAGCAAAAATAAAGATGAAGATGCCACCTTGCTTCTCGCATGCAAAGGAGAAGAAAGTGCCGAAAAGCACCGATGGTACCTTGATTCCGGTGCAAGTAGCCATATTTGTGGAAAGAAGGATTTATTTGTGGAACTTGAAGAGTTGAATCGTGGCACAATCACTTTTGGAGATTCTTCACGTGTTAAAATCAAAGGAAAAGGTACGATTTTAATTCGCTTGAAGGATGGAAGTCATCAATTAATTTCTAATGTTTTATATGTGCCGGAGATGAAAAGTAACATTTTGAGTTTGGGACAACTTTTGGAGGAAAATTATGACATTCATTTGAAAGATAAAAAGTTGTTTATGAGAGATGAAAAAGGGAGATTATTAGCTAAAGTTCCTATGGCTAATAATAAAATGTTCATTTTAAATCTTCAAAATGATGCTCCAAGATGCTTACTTTCATGTGCCAAAGACTCCTCTTGGCTTTGGCATATGAGATTTGGTCACTTGAATTTTGATAGCTTAAGGTTGATGGATAAAGAAAACATGGTGAATGGATTGCCAAGTATTAATCATCCCAACCAATTTTGCGAAGGATGTATCTTTGGAAATCAAGCTAGAAAAAGCTTTCCTAAAGAGTCTTTGACAAGAGCAAGATGCCCTTTGGAGTTAACTCACATGGATGTTTGCGGACCTATCAAGCCATCTTCACTTGGTAAAAGTAATTATTTTTTACTTTTCATTGATGATTATTCTATAAAAACTTGGGTTTATTTTTAAAGGCAAAATCAGAGGTGTTTGAAACCTTTAAAAAATTCAAGAGGATGGTGGAGAAACAAAGTGGCTATCAAATTAAGTCACTTCGGCCGGACAATGGTGGAGAATTCACCTCAAATGAATTCAAAGTTTTTTGTGAGAAAAATGGAGTTCGCCATTTTTTAACCGTGCCAAGATCACCACAACAAAATGGCATTGTGGAAAGAAAGAACCGGACCATTCTTAACATGGTGAGGAGTATGTTGAAGAGCAAAAATATGCCAAAGGAATTTTGGGCTGAAGCTGTTGCTTGTGCGGTATACTTACTAAATCGTTGCCACACAAAACGTGTTTATGGAAAAACACCTCAAGAGGCATGGAGTGGTTTCAAGCCAAAAGTTTCTCACTTGCGAGTTTTCGGAAGCATTGCATATGCACATATACATGATGAAAAGAGGACCAAGCTCGATGACAAAAGTGAGAGGTATGTTTTTATTGGTTATGATCAAAATTCTAAAGGTTATAAGTTGTATAATCCCAAAAATGGCAAGGTCACTTTGAGTAGAGATGTTGAGTTTGATGAAGATAGTGCTTGGGATTGGAAGACTAAAGAGCAAGATTACTCTTTTAGTCCATTATTTGATGATGATGAAGAAGATGTGGAGCAACCTATCTCACCACTATCAACACCTCCGCCACAAAATCAAGAAGTGGAGGAATCAAGTTCAAGTTCAAGTGAAGCACCTCACAAGAGTAGAAGTCTCCGTGACTTGTATGAAAACACGGAAGTGGTAAGAAATGATTTATATGATTTTACTCATTTTTGTTTATTGGTGGATAGTGAGCCTATAAGCTTTGAGGATGCATTCCAAAATTCCAAATGGAGAGATGCCATGGATGAAGAAATCAAGGCAATAAAAAGGAATGAAACATGGGAGTTGGTCACACTTCCAAAAGGAAAAAGCACCATTGGAGTCAAATGGGTGTACAAGCTAAAGAAGAATTCCAAGGGTGAAGTAGAAAAGTACAAAGCAAGATTAGTAGCTAAAGGATACAAGCAAAAAGCCGGTATTGACTATGAAGAGGTATTTGCACCGGTTGCTCGTTTGGAAACAATTCGCTTTGTCATTGCCTTGGCCGCCCAAAATCAATGGAAAATCCATCAAATGGATGTGAAGTCAGCTTTTTTGAATGGCGTATTGGAGGAAGAAGTCTACATTGATCAACCTTTGGGCTATAAGGTTGAAGGACAAGAAAATAAAGTCTTGAAATTGAAAAAGGCTTTATATGGGTTGAAGCAAGCTCCGCGGGCTTGGAATAGTAGAATTGATAAATATTTTCAAGCAAATGGTTTTTCAAAATGTCCACATGAACATGCACTTTATGTAATGGAGACATTTTACTTGTTTGCTTGTATGTAGATGACTTGATTTTTACAGAAAATAATCCTAAGATGTTTGAAGAATTCAAGGAAGCAATGGCTAGAGAATTTGAGATGACGGACATTGGATTAATGTCCTACTATCTTGGCATTCAAGTGCAACAAATGAAGGATGAGATTTTTATTTCTCAAGGAGAATATGCAAAGGAAATTCTCAAGAAGTTCGAGATGGATAATTGCAATCCCGTGAGCACCCCCGTTGAATGTGGAGTTAAAATATCCAAGCATGGAGATGGAGAAAATGTAAATCCCACATTTTTCAAGAGTCTTGTTGGAAGCTTAAGGTACTTGACATGCACAAGGCCGGATATTCTTTATGGTGTT